TTCAGTATTGTTTTCACTTTCACTGTCCTATTCTTAAGAGAACATTTTTCTTAACAAATTAAATGGCAGTCAAAATACAAAACATGGAAAATTCTTTTCAGTCTGTGCAGACTCAATTCAACTCTCAGTTTTTTTTTTTTTTTTTTTTTTTTGTAACAAGTGCTAACAGACCAAAGAAAAGAAAACAAAGTAATTCAAAGTAATTACATACCTACAGACTTTCAGAAGAGAGGCTACATCAGAAATTTGCAAATGAAAAGCAGAGCATTCTAATCATTCTAACATACCTGTTTATATACAGTTAAGATTATAATTGACACTATTATCTCTCTAAAATGTGGTATCTGTAATGGTCCTTTCCGAAAAAAAGAGATGGGAGGGGGACACACACAGTGTCAAATACATTTGGGTAATACTGTATACAACATCCTTTGTTAGAAATTGGCAACTTGCATCAATGAACAAAAGTTTTTTTTTAATAAAAAAACCTTATTTCTCTTTTTTCTTTTTTTCAGATTTTACTTATTTGAAAGTCCGAGAGATCTTCCATCCACTGGTTCACTCTCCAAATGGCCCCAATGGACAGGGCTGGGCCAGGCTAAAGCCAGAATCCAGGAGCTTTATCCAGGTCTCCCTTGTGGGTGCAGAAGCCCAAGCACTTGGACCAACTTCTGTTGCTTTTCCCAGGTCATTAACAGGTAGCTGGATGGGAAGTGGAGCAGCTGGAACTTGAACTGGCACTTATATGGGATGCTGCAGTCTCAGTGGTTTAACCCATTATGATAATACCGGCCCAAAATTAATAAAAGTTTTTGAAAAATTATATTATAAATGCTTTGAAAAATACTATAAATAAGCATATACGATAATCAATACTGTTATGCTGTGTAGTACCAGTAATGAACATTTTGTTGCTGTATACTAAAGTAAAAAATTCAGTAAAAATCAATACTTGAGATACTATTAATAAAAAAAGTGAACATAAACTCCTGAGATGCTTTCTATACTGGCTAGTTGTTAGAAATTTCTTGTTTACACTAAAGCTGGTCCAAAATCATGCATTTTCATCTAATAATTGTGTGTAGAGGTGATGTGGTGCTGGTTAAGATAACCCATGCGCCAAGACAGAGAACCAGGGTTTGATACCCAGCTCTAGTTCCTGACTCCAGTCTGCTAATGCAGGCCCAGGGAGGAAGTGATGGCTTTAGTAGTTGGGTCCCTGACATTCTTCTGGGAGACCTGTATTGAGTTCCCAGTTTGGCCTGGTTCAGTTCTAGCCATGATAGGCAACTAGAGAGTGAACCAGAGCATGGGAGTGCTCTTTTCTCTAACAATCTGTCATTATCTCTTTCTTCCTACTATTTTCCCTCCTTCTCTCTCAAATAAACAAGCAGTTTGTATAGGTCAAATTCAAAACATTTTGCATAATCAATTTCTACCAAAGATCAATCTAGCAAAACATATTTGGGTGTTTCTGTATGAAAAGAAGAAAAATTATGCCTACATATTTAAAAAAATCCCAATTGTTTTTTATCTGACCCCAATGAAGATACTAAAAAAACAACACCTGCTTAAAAGCACATTTATACAATCAAAAATAAGCCTATAATATAATGAAATTAAACCATGTTCACTACCAATTTTTGGAACTCTAAATTTAATTATTATATCAAGAAAATGGTTTAATTCAAAACACAGATAAGGAATAGAGCTTACTCATTGGTAAGTAAAATTACTTTATTGTATTATTGCTAGTAGCATAAAATTGACACACACAAATTGTACATGCAGAGGAAATACAACTTAATGTAAACAGATGATTTTCAGCACATTCCTTTACTACACTGTAGTCACCTTCCACAAAATACACAAGCTCATGCACAAGGTCAAGACGTTACATACAGCTGAAATCACAATGTCATGCATATAACAATAGCGTGCTGGTAATCGTACCACAAACTGTGCAGATGTTCTCCCCCACCCCATAAGCCACTGCCAGCAGTTGCTGTGAAGTTTGGTTACCCATATCCGTGACATGAACGGTGTCCTTTGGAGAATCTTGTTCCCTGTGGCTGTAAGTATTCTTATTTTTATAATATTTTAATGATGTTTGCTATTAAAATGTTAAGTACAAAACTAGAAATTATGGGAAAGTACACTTTTTATAATACTGAGCAATTATATACATCTTAGGCATCTGTAACAAACACCACTTACATTTAAACATTTCATCCAAACTATTTTACTGCTTGAAGTTAAATGAACCCAAAATAATGTTTGATGTGCTCCAGTGAGTGGGGGGAAAATCAACTTCTAAAAAAGTACTCCCTTATTTCTAGTACTCAAAAACTTGGAAAGAGTCATTCTAATGACCTGGCTAAAGTATGACTCAATACAGATAATTTTTATGTAAGACCATCTACTAGAACTCTTTCACTAACATGATTTCAATATAAGAATTGACTTGGTAAGCAAACCAAATTGAGATTATTTATGTTAGTCAATAAAAGAAAGTATATAGTCATAAAAATAATTCCAAAACTGTTAAATGTATTTCAGTGTCCTTTTTTTGGGGGAGGGGGAAGAGAGCCTATTTATATTCCAAGTGCATTCTGGTAAAGACAAAATTCTATTTTGCTATTAGGTAATACTTGCCAAGCAACTGATATTTATAAAAGCATAGAATCAGAATTTTAGAACCACAAGACACTTTGTGTGGTTCAGCTCTATGCCTCTTGGCAGTGCTTTCTGGCTCTTTCAGAATGGTGAAACAATACTCCTAGGATGCTCCAGAATATGTTTAAATAAGGCCAGTGAGCAAAAAAAATACAGCCAACTCTCAATAACAATGGAAGGTAGGATGGATAAGTAAAATCTGAAGATCTAAAAATCTCACTTCTGTTAATAACTCCAATCCTCTTTCTTAGCAAGCATTTGACTTAAGAATTGAATTTTCTTAGTGATATCAGGAAAAAGACTTGAATTATACTTCTTTTTTTCTGCCTCTGTCTTCCAAACATTCTAGACGTTTAAGCAAGAAGTCTATAGTCTAACATATGTAGCTATAAAGATGAAACATTTTTATATCTAGTTTCTCTAATTTATGTATTTAAAACTATCTGTATCATATTCTAGGATATAAGGACTTATATCTACATGTGTTTATGTTTTTGGATAAGAAAAGAGATTTTATAATTGGTTTTAAAAACTGGTACTTTAACAAGGAAAGACTACTTACCACAACCAACATCTGCAGTTACCAATTTTTTTGATTTTGTAAATGTATAATTTAATACTTACCAAGTTATATTTTTTTTTAGAATGTAACATTTCCAAAGCAGATGAATTGAAGATGACTGTTTTAGTCATTACCAGTATAAATTATGATGGGTCAATACGTCTTGATAAATTGGGCATAGTAAGACTGGAGCTTACAAACAGCTGCCTTTCCTGATTCTTACATACAGAGTCAAATACTGTGCTCTATTCTGTCCCAGTTCTTCTCCAGTCATCATCATTCAGTTACATCAACAGTCTGATGCAAAATATGTATCTTATTATAATGTTTGTCAATTAGCAGCAAGTAATAAAGAATTCAGAATAATGAAGTCTCCGAAACCAGGCCATTCATTGAATTTGGAAGTGGATAGGTAACAAAACCTAAATTGATGACTTTAATCCATTCATTTACCTTTCGATCTAAAGAAAGAGCATTAGATTCTGAAAATTGTATATTTGTTCCAAATGTATAATTTGAATGTTAACCTCTTACAAGTCATTCTAATTTCATTATGAGAATCAGATTCCTACTCACTGAAAGAGGAAGGGTAGATTAATGGATACTAAGTTAGGGTTCCATAGGAGTAAGAAGTTCTGGTGTTCTATTGCATAGCAGGGTGAGTACAGATAAAAATCTCTTGAATTTATGTATTAGGCTTTATAATACTTATTCTCATATTTGTAGGGATAAGCATTAACTGTTAAGAAGTGTGTATATCAGCAATATTTTGTAATGGTATTTCATTTTTATTTATGTAAAATAAAAAGTGAACAGCAATTTTAAAAATAAATCATTGGTATTAATGCATTTTATAAAATCAATATTTCTGCTTAAGATGCAAATACTCTAATGGGAGAGACATTTCCTGAATTATAACAAAAGTTAAGATAATTAAAAATAATTTAGCTATATGATATAGACATTCCTTAATACATCTATAAAAAATAAAAAGGATTAGTTTCTAAAAATTAATTAAAATTATCCTGCCACTGAAATTTTATCACAGAAAATAATAGACTAAGAAAGAGTACCTTTGAATGTTGTATGATTTGCACTTAGGTTTCTAAGAATAATGTTAATAGATATTTAAACACTTCTGAAAATCTGAACTTTTCCAGGATACATTAAAATGAGAATAGAAAAAAGTCCATTTTGATCATTTTCCCATATTATGTTAAGAATCAAATAACACACATTCAGTTTTACAACAGAATTTAAAACTAGTTTCCATGTCCACATGGAATTTACATTGTTAAGGGCATTATTAAAAGATAATATTTTGATGTGTCAGAAGGTACAATGATAGTCTTTGTGATTATCTCTGACAAATAAATATCACTGCTGAACAGAAACAATAAATAGTAAGAAAGTACTGCAGAAAAAATTTAATGAACATATTCTGGGTTTCCATCAAAATTTTATGTTCTCTACCCATGATGGTTTTGTATAAATCTCAATCAGGTCAGTAGACAACTGCATTTATGTTATGGAAGCTGCTACACAAAGTGAGAAGGTGAAAAGATTAGACTATGCCATAGTAAGGCTGAGAAAAATGACTTCGTCATACTAGCAATAACTTAAAATATATTGGGCTTTTCAGCAATTGAAAAGGTATTTTCAATGGTTTGGTATTTTTACCTGTAAGTTTATTATGTTGGAAATCTGTAGTAAGATAGTAATAACATCTACATGAGAAAAAAAATTTAAATTCTTCACTTACCTCATCTGGGTTGGCATTAAAGGTGAGACTACCTTCATCCAGCTGCATATATAGTTTTCTAAAAGAAAATCCTAGAGGTGGGTTCTTATTGTATATGGAACAGTGACCCCAAGTGGATTTGCACAACCTGTAAAAATGAAAAACAATGAGACAGAAAAACATTACTAGCTTTCATTTTCTAAATTCAATATTCATACACATGATAAAACAGTAATCTGAAATGACATAAAAGTGGATTTTATAGCTCTAAAGTTTAAAATTTTTATTTTGTACTTGTTTTTTGCACTGGAGTATTATAGATGCCTTAAATCTAGCAATTTTGATAGCGTCTAATTAATGGTTACAAAGATTAAACATGATGACATATTTATTATGTGTTCCCATTAAAATTTTGCACTCCTCACTTATATAACGTAACTAATACCTATCTCAATCAGGTCAACAGAGGACTGCATATATATATCATGGATGCTGCCATATAAAGTTAGTAGCAACAGGAATAAAAACTAACAGTTACTAGATTATAGGTATTATTTTAACTATTTTAATTGCATTAACCTGCTTCATCTTCAATAATTCTCTGATGTTGGTGCTACAGCTAAGAAACACAGAGACAACAAAGTTGCCTGATAGAGGCAGGATTTGAACACAATGAATGACTCTTACTCCAGAGCTAACAATTTTTATCAAGAAGCTAAATGGGATTTATTAAGTATTGTGAAATAAAACTAAATTGTGGAAAAAAAGATTTTCTGGGTGGGGGGGGTCAATCTTTTTCACAGTACATATATTAACAACACAAAATTAAAATAAATCTTTAAAAAAAACAACAGAATCAGAAATTCAAATGCCATGACTGCAATAGATACATCAAAAGCTATGATATTAAGGAAAGCTATTTTTAAGATTCTACTTCAGAGGCAGGCACACATCAGAGGATTCACGTTTAATACCCCACTCTGGTTCCTGATTCCAGCTTCCTGCTAATGCAGACCTTGGGAGGCAACAATGATGGTCCAATGATGGTCCAATGATGTGTTCCTGCTACCCTGTGGGAGACCTAGATTCAGTTCCTGGCTCCCAGGCTCCATCCTAGCCACTGCTGGCATATGGGCAATGAACCAGTGGATAGGCACTCTCTCTGTTTTTACTCTGCCGGCCTTGAGCAAGAGCACGCGCACACACAGAGCACAGGAAAAAAGAACAGTCTATCACATCAAAATGTGTGAGGAGAGGTAGCTGAAATATCTAATTTTATGAGATTACCCTTTCAATAGTTAATTTATACTCTTGAATTTTTTTATCAACCAAATGAATAACTGATTCTAAAGTGGCAACTGTAATGAATTTTCTAGGAAATTAGTATTTCAGAAGTCTTCAGTTACATCACTAAGCTATAGCTGTGAAAGCCATAATCTCCCAATATCAGTAAGTATTCAACACACTTAAAATTATTAAATAAAAATCCAGCCAGCATTTAATTTCAAGTATAAGCAATTTAACATTAAGAAAAAATTCCAAGTATCATAAAAATGGGCATAATTATGCAAACAATAAAGGAAGCATTTCTTTCAGAGATAAACAATCTAGATTTAAGCCTCAAGTGAGAATACATTCTGAATGAGCACAGAGAAGTTTAGATGTAAATATTTTTTCAAGTTCAAATATATTAAGACAAATTAAGCTGGTGGTGCCTATCAAAATGTAGAAAAAGAGACTATAAAGAAATGAGTCAGATTTAAAGTACTTTCATTTCTTCTTATGCTCCTTTGATAAAAAACTTATTTCATACACTAATTAATACCATTTCTTCTCACAGTATCTTCACTATAAGAAGTAACTGAAGAATAACAAAATGATACTAATAATTGTTATGTTTAGCCACTGAGAAGTGATCAAGCTAATTTATACTATAATTCAGTGATATTACCCAATGATTCCTTTAGGTTTGGTAACATTTTCATGACTCAAAAAAAAAAAAAAGAATTCACATACTCATAATTTTATATAGGTATGTGATACTATCTAAGGACTAATAATTTACGCTCAATAAAACATTCTATTTACCTAAATCTATATATATGAAATGCATGAAATTTGATATCTTAAATAAAATTTAAAAACAAAACAAACAAAAAAACACATTCTATTCAACCACATGTTGGTAGTTTCAATTTAATCTGATGTAATAGCTGCTAAAATTTCTAAATAATCTAGTTTAAGTTGAAAATGTAGATTATTTATCTCCTTTCTTATTATTTACATATGTCACTGATGAAATGGTGGGTTGGAGAAACAAAAAGTTGGTAAGATTTTCACATTAGAATTTATACTGACAGGCACCTTTGATAAAATATATAAATAAGTAAAAATACATATATAAAAGAAATAAGTACATAAACAAATAAGTAAAAATACTCAATTTGCTACCAATGAAGAAAATAGCATTTGAAGACTACTGATTTTTAAGTTACACTGATTCTTCAAATGGGATACTAATGGGAGGCACAAACTATACCAGGGTGTGAAGAATCCAAGTTTTGGACTGTGACTTCTCACTTCACAACTTTGTCTTATTTTTAGAATAAGCTAACAATTTCTCATTTGTAATAAAACAACACATAACTATTTGTAACCTCTCATCTAATTGTAAAGCCATTATTGTATTTCTTTTCCCAGTATCAAATTTGACTATACAAGTCAAATCACACTTTCAGTTTTCTAGGTTCTAGCAACATAAAGCACAAGCCCAAGTTAAACATATTTCATAATACTTATATTACAAAAAGCATAATTATGCTTAGAGATATCTGAATCAAACATTGGTGGGTTTAACTTACCCTTGCCAGAGAAGCTCATCATTAGCAAGATCCTGCCAAACACATGAAGCTAAGCAGAGATCAGTTGCATTCAGGTAGGATAAGATGGTAAAGCTTAGTTCAGGAGGCAACATTTCCAAATTAATGAATCCTTCCTGTTCTTTAGATTTCCTTGCTTTCAAAAGATGATATATATCTATGCCTCCTTGGACTTGTTTACGATGACTGGTGTTAGAAATGTTGCTTGCAGCCATTCTTCTGCTCTGCTCTCTGGTGAGGTAGCCTTGCTCACTATAGCCTTCCTGTTGTAGCTGCTGGTTTCTGGCCACTCTCCACAGCCCCTGACCCATCTGCAAGCCTGTGAAAAAGCCAGAATGTAATAAGGGTGGCATTAAAAAAGTAACCCATCTTTCCCAGTGGTATAACAAATCTGACATGAAGCATTCATTTATCAGAATTAAAATTCCTTATTAAAGCCTATTAAAACCAGTAATATACCACCAAAATAGAACACTGTGAATACAAAATTAGAGTAGCTTTAGAAACATTTGGCTTGATCATCTCCTTTATTCCAGCTTGCTTACTACTTCTAAAGTCCACAGGTGACATAATCATTTTTCACATGGTAAGATTTAAAAGTTACTGATATCCTAAAGTCTCTTACAAATTATAACTATGTGGACTTATGGGCCTGTATTAAATACAGCTCTGATCAGAGCACAGGAGTTCAGTTAAAAGGCCTCCAGACCCTGCTTTTTATCACAATTCAGGCTAAACTAAGCTAGCCCCTTTTAACCAAACTCCCAGATGCATAACAGCTGTGAAACAGGCTTTTAGTTTAATTCTTGCCAGTCTACACTTATGTTGTAGACTGTAATAAAATGTAACATAGGCCCTGAAGTCTAATTCAGAAACCTTATAAATTAGACACCTTCAACTCCATGATAAATAGCTCAGTAATAGCTGACTATTTGGTTTTGTGGTTGCTTTAAATTAAACATCATAATTTAGACTAATTTTCCAGTTCTTGTCTACACAGCCATTTGGTTCCTCAAAGGTACCTGGAAAAAGAGGCACAAGAAGAAGGTGTGTTCCTGTCTTTCCCACTTCCATTTGACATCCAACAAAAGCAGCTCTACATTTATATACTACACATACTGGAAGTTTCCATACATACTGGAAGTCTCCAGAAACAGATATTTAGAAAATAACTGGCCTAGACTTATTTGGTTTTGGCTTTAGAATAAGTAGTTTTTCCTGAAGAAATAAATTCATTGAGAAAAAGTAAACCAGTAAGTTTTAAAATGACACAAATACATGCACTCCCATGATTTTTTTTTTTTCTTTTTAAAAGATATTTACTTGAAAGGCAGAGCTAGAGAGAGGTAGAGGCCGAGTTAGGTCTTTCATCCACTGGTTCACTCCCCAGATGGCCACAACGGCTGAAGCTGTGCCAGTCTGAAGCCAGGAGCAAGGAGCTTCCGCTGGGTCTCCCACACAGGTGCAGGGGCCCAAGGTCTTGGGCCATCCTCCACTGCTTTCCGAGGATATAGCGGAGAGCTAGATTGGAAGTGGAGCAGCTGGGACTTGAATCAGTGCCCATATGGGATGCTGGCATTGAAGACCAGGGCTTTAACCCACTGTGCCACAGGCTGGCCCCTCAATGATCTCTTTTAAAAATATATCATTTTATTAACTCAAGTTGATTACTAACACTTGTTGTATTTAAACAAATTAGAAAAAATACTGATTCTTCACAGAAAGTTATGAAAATAGTCAAAATTTGTAGCATAATAGGAACTTTAAATGTCTGTCTTAATTAACTGCTTACAATATAATAAACAAAAATGAAAGTGAAAAAACCAGAAAGAGAAAAGAAAGTGGTGACCAGAAATTTTGAAAAGTACTGGAAATAGAGCAAAACTTCAAAGAATGTCACACTTTTTTTTTCTAAGATTGATTTATTTATTTTGAAAGTCGAAGTTACAGAGAGAGGGGGAGAGACAGAGATCTACCAGCTGGTTCACTCCCCAAAAGGCCACAAAGGTAAGGCCTGGGCCAGGCAGAAGCCAGAAGCCAAGAGCTTCATCCGGATCTCCCATGCGGGTGGCAGGACCCCAAACACTTGCTGCTTTTCCCAAGTCATTAGCAGGGAGCTGGAACGGAAGTGGAACAGCTGGGACAGGAACCCATGCCCATGTGATGCCGGAACTGCAGGTGGCAGTTCTACTCTATGCCACAACGCTGGTCCCATCACACACTTAAAAAAAAAATATTTAAAAAGGAGTGCTCCACATGCCCATTTACTGAATTGTTGTCTGTACAATGGCTACTATATTAAGTCAATTGTTGGTCAAAATAGAAACAAAGCCCAAGATAATTTATAACTCCTCTTTATGTTAAGCTGCTTGGAATTGAAGCAGCTTATGCTATGAAAGCAATGGGGCAGGGTGGAGTGGGAGTGTGGCAAGAAGAGAGGAGGTAATACAATGAGAAGGGGTATTTCAATGATTTTTAGGTTTTTTTTTTTTTTTTTTTTTTATACAGGCAGAGTGGCCAGTGAGGGAGAGAGACAGAGAGAAAGGTCTTCCTTTGCCATTGGTTCACCCTCCAATGGCTGCCACGGCCGGCGTGCTGTGGCCGGCGCACCGAGCTGATCTGATGGCAGGAACCAGGAACTTAGCCTGGTCTCCCATGGGGTGCAGGGCCCAAAGACTTGGGCCATCCTCCACTGCACTCCCTGGCCACAGCAGAGAGCTGGCCTGGAAGAGGGGCAACCGGGACAGAATGCGGTGCCCTGACCAGGACTAGAACCTGGTGTGCCGGCGCCGCAAGGCGGAGGATTAGTGAGCTGCGGCGCTGGCCTCAATGATTTTTAAATGTGGGAAAAAAAATTGCTTTTGTAAGGAAGACACAAAAGATAACCCTTCCCTGCTTACTACACATACCACAACAATGAGATCAATTCCTTAACTGGAGGTTGAGGATTAAAAGTAAATTATTAAAAAATATAGAATATTAAGAAAATGAAAAGACATGCCATAGAATAGAAGGAAATCTTTTCAAAACACATATATGAATAACTGCTATCCAAATCACACAAAGAACTCTCAAATCTCAACAATAAGAAAAAAATGAAACATGTATAAAATGGGCAAAAGATAGAATATACACCTCATGGAAGAAGGTATACAGATAGCAAATGAACGTAAGAAAAATGCTAACCATCTTAAGCCATTAAGGAATTGTGAGTAAGAACAGAGAGGTACCAGTACATACTTATTGGAAAGGTATTCCACAAGCACTTACAATACCAAGTATTGATGAGGATGAAGGAATTCAAAATGAGTCACTTACTAGTTTATCAGTTTCTTATAAAATTAAGCATACTTTTACCATATGAATCAGAATTTATATTCCTTGGTATTTATTTAAGTAAATTGAAAATATAGGTTCACAAAAAATACAGATGAATATTAATAGTAGTTATAATTCCCAAAACTTGTGGGCAAAGAAAATATACTTCATTAGGCGAATGCATCATGCACTGTGGTATATCCATACAATGGAATATTACTTACACTAAAAAGAAATGAGTTATTAAGCTATGAGAGGACATGGGGGGAAACTCCAGTGCATGTTATTAAGTGAAAGAAGCCAATCTGAAAGACTCCATATTAATGTGATTACAATTATGTAACATTCTGGAAAGGCAAAACTATGGAAATAGTAAAAATACTTAACAGAAAAAAAGGAGAATGCCAACAAAAATCTGAGGAATTTTAAAATTGCTTAATGCTATACTACATAATGGAACATTATAAAACAAGTACGACTCAATTTTGACATAAAATTCATTATGGATATTTGTTTGACTTTGCAAGAAAATGCCTAGTAATCACACTAACTGCTGAACTAATCTAGTCCTTCCAAGTACTTAAATTCTTATTTTTATCTGTATCACTAAAGATAATTAATCCAATATGGTAAATGTGGTATTTGAATGCACAAGATATAAGGTGTTTAATAACAATTTTTGTGAATCTCCCTATAGCATTTTTTTCTAGCAGCATATAGTTAAGCAGCTGGTGTTACTCTCAGGGCTGTTGCTAGGAAACAAAAATTCAGGGTGATTTCCCTAGGTTCTGGACTTTAATGAGGATCACTTAAATTAAGCCCTGGATAATGTGATTCAGAAAGCATCCAGCAGGTAGAAAGAGGTAAAGCCAGCAACTGGTTCTTAAAAAAAAAAAAAAAGCTGGGGATGGTGGAAAGTTGAGGCTTATGTACTTATGTATACATAGTGCAGACAAAGAAAACTAAGATATATCTAATTTTCTATTCTCCTACTGCTAAATCAGACTGCAAATTGCCCCTTTGGGACTTGCCTTTCTCTTTTAAGCAGTTTGTGATGCTTTAAAGAGAAAGTAGGATAAATCACTCTCAGAAGACGAATATTATAAGCTCAGCATTTGGAAAAAGGAAGGGCTGTCAATGATGTTCTATCCACACTCCCAGTATTTCTTAGAGTAACAGAAACGTGGAATATGGTGTAACTGTCAGATAAGTAATAAAACTTTCAAAAAGACATGACATCCATTTTGTTAAGTTATGATGCAAGGCATGGAAGGAACACAGTATTGTGGACTTTGAGGTTGGACAGATTTGAGTTTGAATCTTGAATATGTTAGTAATTACAGGGGCTTTGGTGGGGAGAATTACTCATCTATGCTAAACTTCAGTTTCTTCATTTATAATATGGAAAAACTGTCTCTATAGCTTAAAATCTTGTTTTATTAGATAATGCATGAGAAGTTCACTTCATGGGTAATAACCAATACATGTTAGTTATTACCTTGTTTTGACAAAAATCACATTTTCATAAAATGAAAATGACAGCACTTTCATAAAACTTATTTAATGATAGATGACTATCCTGATGTCCTGTCTGATAAATAAACTTATTTGTTCATGTTCATACTTGTATGGCTTTGGTAGGGTTTGTACACAACTTTTTACCTCCTTTAGTTCTCAGGTTTTGTGCATGTTTATATTTTTTCCTTGTAAATTTTTATGTCAATGACCAAATCAAAAAATAAATAAGTAATCCTAAAAATAAAAATATCATGGTCCACAAAAATTTCAGATTTCAACATACCCAACAATAGTTCCAATAGCTATGTGGTGAAATGAGTCCTTGTGTTACCTTTAGTAGCTCTCAACATCTGGCTCTGAAATAAATGTAAAATATGATACAGTTTCACATTGGGTTCCTGCATAATTTCAATTCTTGAAAACACATGTTCTGATAAAATCAATCAAAACTTGACTTCAACATATAGTCTTCAGATTTGTCTTAATAGTAATTATTTGATAAAAAATCAGTTGCACAGTGAATATTTAAACTGAATATGCAAAGATTTTCCAATTAAAACACAAAGTACATATTTGCATTTGAAATCACTAGCTTTGGTGTAAACATGGATTTCAAGATGAAACTATTGCTGAATTAATCACTCCAAAGAGACTGAGGAAAGTAGAGAATTCTTTCTAAAATAGATTACTCTTACAAGAGTGTAGTTAGTCCTTTTCATGTATATAGTTGATTCTTTTTATTCATAGATTATATGTTCTATAAAGTTGATATAAACACTAATTATTTAATACTGAATCACAGGAAAAATACAGGGTTAAGTTTTTATAAGCACCTGGTTACAATGTTTTTGACAACCAATTAATACATAACCTTGTTTTATGTGCATTTCTGTTTGAAGACACTTTAATATGTATTATTAACTCACTAACATTGAACTCATGGCCAACAGCACTCACGGTAATACATGAAGGAAGATTATTTCACAAATCTATGTTCTCTGTAAGGCACACCACTTGTCACTTTGGGGCCTTCTTAATTTTCAGAATCACCAACAAAAAGCACAAAAATGTGAAAAATGTGGCACTCAAGAGGCCATGAAAAGGACACTTGTATACAAGAGTTAAAATAAAAAGGAAAGTCTCCCCATATTCAACTTTAGCTGAGAATGTGTACCTTGAACAGCTCAGTTTTTTTGCAGCTCTGTGTATGCCACTAACAGCTAGAAAAGTGGCAGGGGGATTTTTTTTTTTTTTTTTTTTTTTTTTTTTGACAGGCAGAGTTAGACAGTGAGAGAGAGAGAGACAGAAAGGTCTTCCTTTTCCGTTGGTTCACCCTCCAATGGCCGCACAGCGCTGATACGAAGCCAGGAGCCAGGTGCCTCTCCTGGTCTCCCATGCGGGTGCAGGGCCCAAGCACTTGGGCCATCCTCCACTGCACTCCCGGGCCACAGCAGAGAGCTGGACTGGAAGAGCAACCGGGACAGAATCCGGCGCCGCGACCGGGACTAGAACCCGGTATGCTGGCGCCGCAGGTGGAGGATTAGCCTAGTGAGTTGCTGGCCGTGGCAGGGGTATTGATTGGATCATTGAAGTGAGCAGACAAGCTCACAAATCCAAAATATAAAAATAATGAGATTCAACTGTAAATGTATGCTACTGAAATATCCAATCTTTTCTTCTAAATTCAATTTATTACATTTAAAGTTTTTGAGAAAATAAATTGAGGGAAATAATGAAAGCAATTAGGACATCATTTTTTTCCTCATTTGTCAAAATGGTTGTAAAATTAATACATTCTTCTTAAAGATTTATTTATTTGAAAGGCACAGTTATAGAAAGGGAAAGAGAGGCAGAGAGAGAGAGAGTCTTCCATCTCCTAGTTCACTCTCCAGAAGGTCACAATGACTGGAGTTGTGCCAATCTGAAGGCAGGAGCCAGGAGCATCCTCTGGGTCTCCCATGCACGTGCAGGGGCCCAAGGACTTGGGCCATCTTCTACTGCTTTCCCAGGCTATAACAGAGAGCTGAATTGGAAGTGGAACAGCTAGCTGGTGCCCATATAGGATGGCGGTACTGCAGGCAGCGGTGGCTTTACCTGCTACATCACAGCGCCAGCCCCTAAAATCAATACTTATAACCAAAGATTTGGATACAATTTACTAAATTTAAATGTACACTTTACCGAGAATGATCAGTACAAAATAAAACAGGTCTTAGAGTGTCTTCTTAAATAGGATGAAGTTCCAACTGAACAATGGCCAAATAGGTGAAAAAACAGGGTTCAAGAATTTTTATTTTCCTGGATCCTTGACCATTAATTTGACCATTTTAATACAGTATTCAAGTAACACTCCTGGTGTCCCAGAGTTACTACATTTTTATTTAGTTTAAAGGTAAAATATTCATGCTTGCCTTTGCACTGCCTGCAAATACACTCATGTAAGCACAACTGTGGATTCCAAAGCCTAATACTAATGGCAATTGAATGAGGATTGCCAATGAATTGAGTGACCTTGAATATTCAGTGGTACTGTGTATGAATGTGTCAAAATCAGCTGAGTAATACATTTTTATGAATTTAATCTTATAATAAGAATTTCATATTTTGGTTTATTATTATATTTCACATTTCAAATTTAACTTATCTGCTCCTAAGGCTGAATGTTGCCATGGCACAATAGATGGGATGAAATAAGTGGAAAATAACACAGTTTTAGGAAAAATACAGACTTATTTGAAAGTAATATCATTGTAAAATATCTACCTATGAGATTGAAAAAAGTTTGATTTAGCTAAAGATGTTTTTATCCAGCAAAGAGCAAATGATCTGTTGTACTCTTACACGACAATATTTTAATTATGTTACAATTAACGTGCCTGTATGGTATTTTTTCTTCTAAAAAAACTCCTTTGGTATTACATAGCTTAATTTTTTTTAAAGATTTATTTATTTATTTCAAAGTCTGAGTTACACAGAGAAGGAGAGGCAAAGAGAGAGACAGAGAGACAGAGACAGAGAGAGAGAGAGAGAGAGGTCTCCCATCTGCTGGTTCACTCCCCAATTGACCGCAAGGGCTGGAGCTGTGCCAAACAGAAGCCAGGAACTGGGAGTCTCTTCTGGGTCTCCCACTTGGGTGCAGGGCCCCAAGGACTTGGGCCATCCTCTACTGCTTTCCTAGGCCACAGTTGAGAGCTGGATTGGAAGTGAAGCAGCTGGGACTCAAACCAGTGACCATATGGGATGCCGGCACTGCAGGCTTTACCCGTTATGCCACAGTGCCGGCCCCATATATAGCTTAATTTTAATATTCTAAATTTTAAAATTACTTTGACTCATGCTAGTTAGCATTGCTTTAGGAATATGTTTTAAACCAGGACTGGGTAAGTATAAACGGTAGGGTATCATCTCATTAACACAATTTTTCATTTGCCAGATACCAGTTGGACAGGTAATCAGAATAAATAATGTTCTGACTCACTTTCTTTTTTTTTTTTTTTTTTTCATTTTTTATTTTTTTTATTTTTTATTTTTTTATCTTTTATTTAATGAATATAAATTTCCAAAGTACGACTCATGGGTTACAATGGCTTCCCCCCCCATACCGTCCCTCCCACCCACAACCCTCCCCTTTCCCACTCCCTCTCCCCTTCCATTCACATCAAGATTCATTTTCGATTATCTTAATATACAGATCAGCTTAGTATACCTTAAGTAAGTATTTCAACAGTTTGCTCCCACACAGAAACATAAAGTGAAAAATAATAGATGATTTTTTTTAAACGATGATGAAATCAGATCAGACCTATTGTCATGTTTAATCCCAGTGAGAGTCAAGTTGGGAATTGATAATTTCTTTCTTTCTTTTTTCTTTTTTTTTTTTTTTTACAGAAGATCAGTTTAGTGTACATTAAGTAAAGATTTCAGTCGTTTGCACCCCCATAGAAACACAAAGTGAAATATACTGTTTGAGTACTCGTTATAGCATTAAGCCTCAGTGTACAACACGTTAAGGACAGAGATCCTACATGAGGAGTAAGTGCACAGTGACTCCTGTTGTTGACTTTACCAATTGACACTCCTGTTTATGGCATCAGTAATCTCCCTATGCACCAGTTATGAGTTTCCAAGGCTATGGAAGCCCCTTGAGTTCTCCGACTCTTATCTTGTTTAGACACGGTCATAGTCAAAGTGGAGGTTCTCTCCTCCCTTCAGAGAAAGGCACCTCCCTCTTTGAAGACCTGTTCTTTCCACTGGGATCTCACTCACAGAGATCTTTTTGCCAGAGTGTCTTGGCTTTCCATGCCTGAAATACTCTCATGGGCTTTTCAGCCAGATCCGAGTGCCTTTAGGGCTGATTCTGAGGCCAGAGTGCTATTTAGGACATCCGCCATTCTATGAGTCTGCTGCTGACTCACTTTCTAAAATATCTTTTATGTTCAACTCTTGGCCTCTTTTGAGATGGAGCGTATATATATTTATTGCTATTCCCTTCTATTAAAATGACAGAAAAGGAATAAGAAAGGTAGAAACTGTTAGCCTAAAAGATAAAACAGGATGGTGAGTACCTATGAGATTTCAACATATATCTGTAACATCAATAGTGGAAGAAGGAGTGGGTACAAACAAAGCCAGGTTGAGAGAAAAGGGCAGTCTGGAATAGTGCAGACAGGTATGCAGAAGCTTAGGTACCTTGTAGAACCCTCAAGAGGTTTTGGTCTATAAAACATTCAATAAGGAATAGAAAAATTCAATGTAAAATGAGCAATAAAAAATCAGAATTGTAACACTTCTGAGTCACGCTTCCTTTTCTATACAACTACAGTAAAAATATTCCTGTTATTTTTTTGAGAAATAATTTTTGTATATAGAACAATAGACTACAACTCCCCCCACCCTTCCTGCCCCTATACATACATATCACACATCTAGAATGTTGACGTTTCTACCCAAATCCTTTCCCTCACTCAGGCTCAATGAAGTAGCACATTCTTCTCAAGAAACTGAATAACCCTAGAGAAAAGACTCCATTCTATCACCTTCCTAACTTTTATAAGTCACCCAGCACGTCTATCAAACTAATCACCCCAAAGCAAAAGCCACCAGCCGTTTAGGGTGCACACATATATAAATCAACTTTTTACTGCCTCTAATATCCAACGTTCAATCATTAAAGTGTGTGTAAAACACACAATTATTTGTTTGATTTTTCCTATTTTATCCAATGACTCTCCAGTAAAAAACAGTAATTTTAATCGTTATTTCAATGGAAATAAACTTTTATACTCTGCATATTACATATTTTTTGAATTTGTAGTAGATAGCTTCTGAAGCTCTGATACATATGAATAAAGTACAT